TATATATTATTATATATTATTATATATATATCTCACTGCCCGCTGACAAAATTGCACACGTTCTACTCAAGAGCGCCAGAAGGTTTATTTACGCTCGTATCTCGGGCCGTCACACGCTAAACAAGGGCGCGCCCAAGTCTCGCACTGACGCGAGGTAGGGCAATTGAAACATCTTGGTATATCGGTACACGATCTTTGCTTGTACTAGTTGTACATGTAACTCCCATCGTCCCTAGAGCGAAACGATATTGTCTCTGTTTTCTTTGTGTTGACTTCACGGAGTGTTCCCGAACACTCGGAACACGTAACACTCGAATTTCGAACAAATCCACTTCGCATTCTCAACAGAAGACCCGGCTACATCTGGTCTCGGGTAGGTGTTTCTTTGTTATTGTCTCCGCCTAAACGCATGTCATACAAAAGCACGCTCCGCTCAAACACACGCTTTCGTCATAGGACGGGGTTTTTTTAATCGTATAATTTAGACGTACAAACGCACGGTCATTTCATCTACTCTAAACGCACGCGTTGATCCGCAAAACACGTCGACAAATAAAGCTTGACAAGGGGAAATTTTCTCTGCAGCCTACACAGCTTGCAAAATACAAGTCTCTAGAGACAACCAGATATTTGTGGTGAGACTGCCCCTCACACTGAACAAAGAGAGTAGAGGGCAGCTTTTTCACACCTAGGCCTAACTTTCCACACACACCTATGTTGGGAAAGAGGGGAGGGGGGGGAGGCGACTGAAATGTCTTTTGATTGGTCCCTCAAAATGCGTCTTTGTTGAGAGAATGTTTCCTGACTCGTGTTTGAATGACGCATAGACAACGTTATGTCAAGTTAGGCCTAGGATGCTCAACACGCATGAATGCTCTAAAACATTAGATAGGTCTGTGTGCGGTATAAGATTAAAGATTAGTCAAGTAATCAGCTGCGCTCGAACAACTTTTAATTTTAACGTTTTAATGTACCGTTACTTGATCAACGCTTCAAATTCAAAAGACAAACGTCTCTCGGAATGACTGATTCTGATGTCATCAATACATTTGCCGATTTGCTATAGATGGCAGGCAATCGGGAGCGGTTGCTTGGAAAGACAGTGGCTGAGCGCTTTTCGGAAATTTCCCTACGACTGGATCAATCCCTATCACCAACAGTTTCCTCTTATCTGTTCCCGACATTTTTAGTGCATACATTTATCAGTATCAGTAAAGCAAGTCCGTCTTTCTACACCCCCCCTTACGAAACCCAACACCTTTACATTCATAACATAACCGTAGTCGGAGAATCCTTCACAAAACAGTCACGTGTCGTCATATTATCAGCCCAAGTGACACTCACTCCCCAAGGCCAAGGGGGGTCACTAATAGTAATACATGTATATCAAGGAAATGAGATGACAGCATCCCTTCCTCCCTTTGTACAGGTATGTAAAAAAAAACACGCTCCGTTTAAACACACGCTGAGGAGCCCTCCCGA